AATGTGAGGATTTTTCCTAAATGGCTTTTTCTTTGTTGAGAATTTATGTTGCTTGTTTTACCAATGTATCTTCAAGTTATCCCATTTTCAGGCTAAACCGGCACTGTCTTCATTTATTGACGACCCTTCTGCAGCTGGAGCCTCTATTCGACCTCTTCTTGAGACAGCACAAGCACATGTTCCTCTTTTCATGTGGGAGAAAACGCCCATAACACTGAAGGCGACAGCTGGTCTTCGTTTACTTCCTGGTGACCTGGCTGACGACATACTAGATGCAGTTAGTTCATGCTTTTGAATCCGTTAGGTCTATTACGAGATTTTTGACTTTATTTATTTATTTAGTTGGAGTTAGAGTTGGAGTGGCGTGAGTTAGAGTTACGTGAAGCTCGGTCTTATTGTCTCACTCGCTTAATTGGTCGTCCTAATTATAAATGGAATTATTGTTGAAAATGACATCACTTTGGTGTTCAAATAATTCAATTATATTTTAGGTCGAGGACGTAATTGCCAGTAGTGGTTTCTTTGTTGTACCTGATGCTGTCAGTATTATGAGTGGCTCTGACGAAGGAATGTACAGCTGGTTTACATTGAACCTTCTACTGAATCGACTTTATTCAGGTGAGGTGCTCGTCCAATGGTTTCATTGCATATACACTGAGCATTTACTTTTGTAGATGATGTAGCGCACCCACATCACCCAGAACCCTCAAGGAGTGTTGCTGCTTTTGACCTTGGCGGTGGCTCAACTCAACTAACGTTTTGGCCTGAAGACAGGCACATGTTCGATTTGTATCCCGAATATGAAAGAGACATAGATTTCTTTGGCTATCGCATGCGGTTGTTTACACATAGGTAAATTTCCATTTCTCTAATGTTTGTTCAATATCCACCTTGTGATGACCTCCTTGAATCAAAGTTCGCTTTTGGTACTTATTTCTTCTACCTTTTGCTACTAAGCAAGCCTTCTATTCATGAACTCGTCACATTTAGCTTCCTTGGCAACGGTTTGGTGGCCGCACGCTTGAATGTGTTGCTTGAGCTGTCTGGAAATGAAAATGATATCAAGTCGCAGCTTTATTCACCTTGTATGCCTGTTGACTTCGTACTACAAGATTGGGAGTACGCTCTCAAGAAATGGACGATCAGGTATGATTCTACTGAAAAAACCAAGCCGCTGAAAAATGCTAAAGATGGCTGGAGGATTATTTGATCTAGGGTGAACTGAGAGGAGTAAAATAGGCGTGCCCTTATTTGTCTAATTTGCTTATTTCATACGAACATTGTACCATAACTTAGTTTTGAATTTTCTGTTTTTATTTTAGAGGATCGCCTTCGTACTCGTTTGCGTCCTGTTACTCTTCTACTCGTAGTTTCATTGAGCAAAGCGATATTATGAAGCTCAAAGGTGACTTTCGGTATACTTCGCTATTTGTATTAAATTTTGAGTGTTGTCCATTCATGAATTTTCTATTCTTAGCACTCCATGGAAAGACAGTCTACTTGTTTTCTTATTTTTTCGACCGTGGTTTGAATGCTGGTCTAGTTAAAGAACACCATGGGGGTTTGGTGAAATTGGAAGACTTCAAAGTCGCAGCGCAGAAAGGTGAATTGGTCGTAATTTTGGGTTTTTTTTATGACCTTGCTTGAGACATTTGTAATTCGTTTTTAGTATGACTTTAAGTGGCTTGATAACGTTGATTTTGTTAGTGATCCAATTATTACAGCTTGTTCACGGGGTCCTGAGGAGCTGAAGGGTTTTCATTGGATGCCTTGGCAGTGCCACGATCTAACCTACATTTATAGCCTTCTTCATGATGGATATGGATTCGATGATAGCCAGCCGCTGTTTGTGAGTTTTTTTTTATTATTATAACTTTATGTTTTTAGGAGTAGTCCTAATGGCCCCTTCCTCTAGTTTCTGCTTTTCATATTCATTTGTTTACGTACATTTAATCTGTACATCTGATCAGTGATGGTTTACTTGGCCGTATGACATCTGGCCAGTTTGTAGAGCCTCATGAAATAGTCAATTTCACCAAGGAGCGTTTATGAAGCGGGTTGGGAAAGGGGATGGCTATGGTGTTTTCAAGAAATTTTCGAAAGGAAGATTACGCAAGCAGTAAAGAGTGAAATTCCTCTTTGAACGTGTGCCCGCAAAAGCCATCCGACAGTTTTATGAAAGGTGTGGGGTGGCTGGCAGAGGAGAGGAGCTGGGTGATGGCGATGCAGAAGCTCATATTTGGGTTTTTACACACGCTCACACGCGCGGTACAAACACACGCCACATGTTGTAGCTGATCGAACATCAGATAAGCTTTCATTCGAAATTATGTTATGAACTGCGAATACTTTCAGCTAGCAAAAAAGCTCAAAGGAATGGAAGTGGCGTGGGGTCTTGGACTGTCCTACGCTCTCGTACACGAGTTTCACAAGTCGCAGAAGTTGACGATTGCTGAGCGCGGTAATGCTACGGTTGTGGATCAGATAATGTCATTTATCTATTCCGGTACTAATAATTTCTTATCTTATCTGAATATCATCTCATAATATTGTTATCGCGTCTTACTTCGATTGTATTTACTTTGACTGTTGTCCATCAATTACTCTTAGTTAACTTGCCATATCTAGTCCCCCGGTAGTTGTAGGCCTTAAGGGTTAGCGATAGTATTGTCGGGGCATTTTTATGAACATATCATCGACTGGAATCTGTGATCTTCACGAATTCCTTTAACTTGTGATTCACTTCACTTAGTCATTCGAATTCCAATATTGAGAAACTCGACGGGATTGTTTGTATTATTTTATCGAAATGAGGTATAAAAAAACTGCAATTTGTTCAATCGGATAGCTAATTCGTACACACATAAAAAAGAACAAAATTAACACTGTTTTCATTGTGGAAATATTGGTCCTTTCATATAGAAATCTACACAAAATAATCGATAAAGAAAAAAGGAGAGAGTTGCCATCTCGTTCTACTACCCGTATAGTCAACTTTCTATGTAAAATGCTTTTTAACGAGTCTATCGGCTACCCGAAACGAGATGAGTTTCATGTAGTGCGTAAAGGGTTTGAGACGAGATTATTCAATAAAATAATAATTAATAGTTCTTCGATTTCTTACATCTGCTCGATTTCTGTGAAGATCCTTGAATCGACGGCTTCTCGTGTGTATTTCAAACAACACACAACTGTGAGAGATGGTGGCCATTTTCTAGGGCTTTTGGAAGGCGTATAGCGTCTCGTAGAGGTTCAGGTTATCACCATAAGTGCTCATCAGTTTTGAGGCGTTCGGCCACTTGCTGTAGTCAGCGCAATATTTGATACGCATCAGCTGATAGTTGTGCACTTTCTTCTCGTTCCTCCAGATCGGACACAACCTGGAACATCCGTTCTTATTGTCCGAGTTACCACACACACAGGCTTTGTACCAAATTTGCGATCCTGGATTATGTAACGTAGAGAGCCTATATATAAAGGGAAGTTCAGTAGCATCAGCTCCCGGGATTCCATTGGCTTACCCGCACTCGGGGGATTGATCCTCTCGAAAGGGATTCCACGATAAATCCGAGGCACGGGTCAACCGTCGCGCTCTACTTTTCCAAACATTTCGCGACCGCCCATCACCACCATCAGTCATAGGAGGCTCCCCCATTGCGATACCCCACATCCTCAGTTGACTCGCTGAACTCCGCCCTCTTTTCCTTTATTTCCTCCAAAACGACCGAGCAGGTAGGGGGAGGGGAGGGCGAGAAATTGGAACAATGAAGCGGCTAATCCACCATTTTTGTATAATTTACGCTATTTTCATGAAACCTTCGCCAAAGTCATTGGAAAACCCGCCAGACAACCCTTTCCACCCGTTCACACTTTTCCCAGAGATAGTTAACCTTGATCAACTCCAAAATACGACTCCTGCGGCCCCGAAGCCGGTGTATGCCAAATATGTTCAAATGTCACTTAGATTCTGAGCGGAAGTAGAATATGTGGTGCATCCGACAAAGAATTCGTTCAACACTAGATAGTTATGCTCAGCTTAGCTTTAGCTTGCTCAACTAGAAGAGTGGAAGCATCGAAGGAGAGAAAATGCAGGATAATGATAAAGTACTGGTGGCTGATCGATCCTTTTTGCGATGCGCCGCTCCACCAATTACTCTCATTTAACAGAATTTACGACGAAAATTAGCTCATTGGAAATAAGGGTAGAGGTGGTCAGTGGAGCAGGGATGAAGAAGAAACCATTTGAAACGGCCCAAAAATGGGACCCCTTCCTTGCCCGTTGATTTGCGCATTGATGCGACTCTCATCGCTGTGCCCTCTTCAACACTACGCTCTCTCTGCTATCTAATCACTCGCCACGTATAGACCTGCGGCGAGTGATTAGATAGTCGGTGGGCGTATCCACCGCAACTGAATCCCTTGATACCAACTTCATGTGAGAGCATGGAAACACTGACCTGTGCATCGCGTTGGTCCTCCATGATATTCCTTAGGCATTCAGATGCCTCAAGCCTTTAAAGAAGGAATTCACGACAAAAACGAAGTTCAAAGAATGGGAGATTGCAAAGCTGAGAGACAGGCTGACCTCCTTAGAGTGCGACCGACGCGCAATCGGTGGCAAGATTTGACGTTGGCGATCTAGCATGGCTCACTCTTGGCGCGGATGGCGTGATACGCCCAATGGCTATCCAATCACTCGCCGCAGGTCTATACGTGGCGAGTGATTAGATAGCAGAGAGAG